CCCAAGACTCAGGGATCATTGTGGAAGAGGAGGCAAAAAAATTGTAAAATACAGAAGTGTGGATAACCACAAGAAATCAGAGTTTTCCAGAAAGCTAGTCAGTTATTTATATGAACTCAAGGCAATGGTGACAGCATTCACAAGTTCCATGTAAGCTCAAGCCAGACAAAATACCAGCACAGCTATGGGAGAAGTGAGTAAATAACCCTAACCCTACTTGCTGAAGTATTGGCAACCAATGGCTGCTGGGAGGGGGAGAGTCAGTCTCGTTTAAGGGTTAGACTCTTGGTAGGTTAACCAGGCTCCAATGGATGAACTCACACTGAAGGATATTTGGGAACACAAATTTGACTCTATAAACCTTTATATATGTATTATATGAAATTGGGCACTGGGATGTGCAGCAAGGAGGCAGTGCAGATAGGGGAGGGAATCTAAATACAATAGAATATAATGTATATAATTTGCAAAATTTCAATTAAAAATATCAGTTGATTTTTATTTTTAAAATGAAAGAGGGGCTGGAGAGATGGCTCAATGGTTAAGAGCACTGGCTGCTCTTGTTGAGGACCCAGGTTCCATTTCCAGCACCCACATTGTGGCCAACAACCATCTGTAACTCCAGTTCCATGGGGATTTGACACATTCTTCTAGGCTCAGCAGGCATTGCACGACACTGTGCACTCACATACATGCAGGCAATACATTCATACACATAAAATAAAAATAATAAATATTTAGAAAGGAATGAAGGAAGGAAGGGAGAGATGGGGGAGAGAGGGGGAGAGGGAGGGAGGGAGGAAGGAAGGAAGGAAGGAAGGAAGGAAGGACGGAAGGAAGGAAGGAAGGAAGGGAAAGAAAGAGAGAAAGCAAGTTAGCTAACTGAGCAGGTCAGGGTGAACAAGCCAGTAGCCTCCATTCCTCCTAGTCTCTGCTTCAGGTTCTGTTCTAAGTCCAGCCTTGACTTTCTTCCTTAGATTCTCCTAGTGATAGACTATAAACAGTAAGATGAAATAAAGCCTTTTATCCCCCAGTTTGCTTTTGGTTAGTGTTTTATCACAGCAACAAAAAAGTAACCAGGACATTAAAACTTAAAGAATCCCAACAGCTAGAGATTCAACCAAGAAGGTGTCAGCAAAGGAGGTGAAGAAATCAGGTAAGTTATGAGGTTTGGTAAGCCATGAAAACAAAGTGTGTCATGAGAGATGGAGTGATCTATCCCGTGAAAAATTTAGCATTAAGTATCATCGTGATGATTGGATTTGGCACAATGGAGGGCATCAATGTGCCTGACAAGAGTAACTGAAAGACTCAGAAAAGATGAACATCTAGTTTGAGAGATCTCAGAGAAAAATAGCATTTGCTGTCCTAACCTCTCACCTATCAGCCATTCAATTCAGATGTTTCATTGTCAAGAAAAACAATTCAGCAATAAGTAGAGGTGGCTTTGGGAGACTTGGTTATAGTACATTTCAGTCTAAGACAAGGAGACTATCAGAATGCAAGGACACTTCCTGATGGAGAGAAGAGAAAGGCAGAAAGAGCTGGTCTGATAGAGCCAGAGGGAAGACAATGTTAAGTCAGAAGGTGAGTGAGTCCACAAGCTCCAGTTCTCCCATCTTTGTGAAGTGAGGAGGTGCGGTCATCAACTGAGAGGAAGCAGAGGCCAGGATGTAAGACATTTGAGAAGTGACAACAATGAGAAGCAACCCTCTTTGAGAAGGCCAGTGTCGCAGCACTGCCTGGACTTGATGACTCTTATTGAATGAGAATGCTGAGCAGTATATACATTCATTGTAAGCTGGCTGATTCCTTCAGGAGTGGTAAAGCTGGATCATAATGATGATTTTTTGCTTTAGTTTTGTGAGGAGCCTTGCTATTGATTTCCATAGTGGCTAGACTGATTTGCATTCTCTCCCCTGTGTATAAGGTTCCTTTTCTTCACATCGTCAAAAGCTTTTATGTTTATTCTTATTGCTGTTTTCTTGATCTTGCTGAATGTGTCTGTTTATCAGAATGTCTGAAAGGATTTCAATGGTTCTCGACAGACATAGGGTCTGATGCTTCAGACTGAGCTGGTCAGAGAATCTTCACCCTTCTCATAGGCTTCTGAGGTGATTCTCAGACATGGCCAGGTCTGCTGACCGCTGAGTTAAACCACATTACACACTGTTAAGTAAAAGGATCATCTTAGAGAAAGTTATTTCCTATTCTGATTTACTTTAAAAGACTGAAGTGGTGATACACAAAGGAAAGAGAGCTGAAATTCAGGGCTGGAAAATCTCTACTTGTTCTAGCAGGAATTTTGGTTTTAACCCCATGAGTTTCTGTTCATTTTCTTATTCTAGTGGCACACAAATAAACAATTTTTCATATTGCAATTTTCCCTGTAGTGACTTAGAAGTTACCTATTATATTTTGGAAAAACTATGTAGTTGGTATCTAAGCTTATGTAATTTATTTTGTGTTTAAAAACCCACCTACTCTTTCATATTTTTATTAGATTTTCCACATATTCTTCCTCTGACTTTGTAGTGAACACACCCCTTTATTACTTTATATTTCTTTGGCATGGTTCCTTATACACCTTCCTCATCCTCCCCCATCCCTGAGGGAACACAGTCTCATTTTTCTTTATTAGGTGAACACAGTGGCTTACCCAAGTGGATAAATACTTGGGGAAGACATAAGCATAAGATTGAAGTAAGAAAGCATATTAAACTAATTGTTCACCTCTTTGATCTCTCTCCATTATTCTCTAAGTTTCCATGTAATTTCCAGAAAATTTAGTGGACATCTGTGTGAGTTCAAAAAGAATAAGAAACAGAATGCTCCAGGACTTAGTTGTAAATTCAAAAAATGTAAAATCCCCGGTGATTCATTTCTCCATGAGCCCTCATAAACTCCAGCAAAGAAAGCTTGAATCAACTCCTTTCCTGGGCCTCGTGCTTTTCTGGAAAACACTGATGCCAGTGGATCTGAAAGAGGTGGAAAGAGCCTGATGCCTGGTTACCTCCAGCTTCCTGCTATAGAGAAGCTTGGTGGTGTGCAGTAGCATCTGGACTGTGCTACTAGATCCACCTTCCACCGTGTGCTAGAATTTCCCAGGGTCTTAGTGACCACCACATACTGTGATCCTAGGTGCTGGAAACTGACAGCAACTAAGAAACCATCCCCTGCATCAAGGAGTACCTGAGCCCATTTGTGATGAAGAGCTAAACCTAAGTGTGATACAAGTTATGGTGAAGAGGAGTACCGTGAAGTCAGAATCATATCAGGGGCAGTTGGCCTTGCATTGGAAAGTCATGGAAGATTCATTGCAGGAAGTGGCATCTGAGAACCAGGGTGAATCTTCTCTGTCTCAGTGTAGTGGTGAGAGTATCTTGTTCAGGCCAAAGACCCACAGGTGCAGTAATGAGCAGACAAGGATTTGCAGGGAGCATCAGAGGATCCCACGTGAGTTTGTGTGGCTGGATCACAGAGCCAGATAACGCATAGGCTTTTATGCCATATGAATGAGTTTGGACTTGATAATTTCTCAAATAATGGGATCTGTTTGGGGGCAGGTCTGCAAAGTGCTTAGCTACAGAAACCTCTAATTTGATGTCCTCTTGTACTATCTTTCTAGCAAATTACACCCTGTAGCACAGGTTAAAAAAAAAAAAAAAA